AGTAACCAGCGAAGGTTCAAGACTTATTCAAGTTACAATAATTAAGAAAATGTGGTACAGGTGCAAGGATAGACAAATGATACAGTGGAACAGAATAGAGAAGCTAAAAGAAGTACTCAGACATATGTGCCCTGTCACTTATCAGAAAGATGGCACTGCAGTGGGGAATAGTCTTTTCAGAAAAAAGATTCTGCTTCAACTGGATGCCCGTATTAAAACATGACACTTGACCCTATTCTACACAGATATCAATCCTAGAATCAGTGTACAATTTTATGCAAGAGAAAAATAATTACACTTCTGTGAGATATTCTCAGAGAACATTTTTTGTGATTTTGGAGTAGACAAAGTTCTTTTCAGAAGGGTAAAAAGCTCTGTGTAATGGAAAAATGGACTTGTTCAAAACTGAGAAAGGAGTACTGCAAGGCTGTACATTGTCACTCTGCTTATTTAACTTATATGCAGAGTACATCATGTGAAATGCCAGGCTGGATGAAGCACAACCTGGAGTCAAGATTGCCAACAGAAATATCAATAATCTCAGATATGCAGATGACACCACCCTTATGGCAGAAAGTGAAGAGGAATTAAAGAGCTTCTTGATGTAAATTAAAGAGGTGACTGAAAATGCTGGCTTAAAACTCAACATTCAAAAAAAAACGAAGAAAATGGCATCTGTTCCCATCACTTTATGGCAAATAGATGGGGAAACAGTGGAAACAGTGAGAGACTTTCTTTTCTTGGACTCCAAAATCACTGCAGATGGTGACTGCAACCATGTAATTAAAACACGCTTGCTCCTTGTAAGAAAAGCTATGACCAACCTACACAGCACATTAAAAAGTAGAGACATTACTTTGCAAACAAAGGTCCAAAAAAGCTTTGGTTTTTCCAGTAGTCATGTATGTATGTGAGAGTTGGATCATAAAGAAAGCTGAGCACCGAAGAACTGATGCTTTTGAACTGTGGTGTTGGAGAAGACTCTTGAGAGTCCCTTGGACTGCAAGGAGATCAAACAGTCAGTCCTAAAGGAAATCAATCCTGAATATTCATTGGAAAGACTGATGCTGAAGCTGAATCTCCAGTTCTTTGGCCACATGATAGGAAGAATTGAACCTTTGGTAAAGACTCTGATGCTGGGAAAGATTGAAGGCAGGAGAAGAAGGGGATGACAGAGGATGAGATGTTTGGATGTTATCACTGACTCAATAGATATGAGCTTGAGCAAGCTCTGGGAGATGGTGAAGGACAAGGAAACTTGGCGTGCTGCAGTCCATGCGGTCAGAAAGAGTCAGACATGACTGAGTGACTGAACTGAACTGAACTGACTGACTGAAGGAGCACTACATGTACAGAGAAAAAGGTGATAAGTCAAACCTAAGATTAGTAACTTGGCTCATTGAAGTACAGCATACCATTAAGAAAATAAAAATATAAGACCAAGAATTAAACACACAAAAATCATAAAAAAATTTCTGCCAAAAGTCATCATCATGGTAATTTGCACATTTGTATTTGTAATAGTCAAGAACTGGAAATAAATTCAAATCTCTGCCATTACTTGAATGAATCAGTGCATGGTCATGTGATCATTCAAAGGAATACTATACAACAATAAAAATTAATAAAAACATTTCCATAAACAACATCATGAGTGAATCTCAAACACAGTTTGGAGTCAAAGAAATTAGACTCAAAAGAAAACATACTGCATGGCTTTACATAAAGTTCACAAACTGACAATATATTCTATGGCAGTACAAGTCTTAGGTAAGCAGTCCTCCCAGGAGAGGAGGGGGACACAGCTATTGGGAGGCAATAGTAATTCTGTGGTGCTATGAATGTTCTCTTTGTAGATCTAGGTTGGAGAACATTACCTAGGTGTACACTTATTGTTTGTACTTTGTTCTCTATTACTATCCTTAAATAATAATGTTTCATAAAAAAATATTATTCATCTAGGCATTTCTTTCCCTGACATAGCACTTTTTAGCATTTCTGAGCACTTCTTTCCCATGAAAATATGAGTGAACGATGAGAATGTTATGGAGCAGGACCTTAGGGAGCCTTCTCAGGACAGACTACCCTCATGTCCTACACGTGGCTCTGTTTGTAGAAAAATCTAGCCAAAGAATAAATTCAATCACAGAAATGAAAAAAAAATCAGAAAAAAAGGAAAATAGTCAAATAGGACAAAATAATAATAGTTTGAATGTGAAAGTGACATCGCTCAGTCGTTTCCAACTCTTTGTGACCACATGGGCTGCAGCATATCAGGCTCCTCCATCCATGGGATTTTCCAGGCAAGAGTACTGTAGTGGGCTGTCATTTCCTTCTCCAGGGGATCTTCCCAACAGAGGGATCGAACCCAGGTCTCCTGCATTGCAGACAGATGCTTTACCATCTGAGCCACCAGCATTTCAGCTTGTGCTTGATCCAACCCTACATTCAGCATGCTGTACTCTGTGTATAAGTTAAATAAGCAGGTGACAATATACAGCCTTTAAATACTCCTTTCCCTATTTGGAAACCATCTGTTGTTCCATGTCCAGCTTTAGCTGTTACTTCTTGACCTGTATACAGACTTCTCAAGAGGCTGATAAGGTGGTCTGGTATTCCCATCTCTTGAAGAATTCTCCACAGTTTGTTGTGATCCACACAGTCAAAGGCTTTGGCATAGTCAATAAGCAGAAGTAGATGTTTTTTCTGGAACTCTCTTGCTTTCTTGATGATCGAACGGATGTTGGCAATTTGATCTCTGGTTCCTCCGCCTTTTCTAAATCCAGCTTGAACATCTGAAATTTCATGGTCCATTTACTGTTGAAGCCTAGCCTGGAGATTTTTGAGCATTACTGTACTAGTGTGTGAGATGAGTACAACTGTGCTGTAGTTTGAGCGTTTCTTTGGGATTGGAATGAAAACAGACATTTTCCAGTCCTGTGGCCACTGCTGAATTTTCAAAATTTGCTGACATATTGAGTGCAGCACTTTCACAGCATCATCTTTTAGGATTTGAAAGAGCTCAATTGGACTTCCATCACCTCCACTAGCTTTGCTCGTAGTGATGCTTCCTAAGGCCCACTTGACTTCACATTCCCAGATGTCTGGCTCTAGGTAAGTGATCATACCATCAAGATTATCTAGGTCATGAAGATCTTTTTTGTACCGTTCTTCTGTGTATTCTTGCCACCTCTTCTTAAAATCTTCTGCTTCTGTTAGGTCCATACCATTTCTGTCCTTTATTGTGCCCATCTTTGCATGAGACATTCCCTTGGTAGCTCTAATTTTCTTGAAGAGATCTCTAGCCTTTCCCATTCTATTGTTTTCCTCTGTTTCTTTGCACTGATCACTAAGGTAGGCTTTCTTATCTCTCCTTGCATTGAAATGGGTATATCTTTCCTTTTTCCTTTGCTTTTCACTTATCTTCTCAGCTATTTGTAAGGCCTCCTGAGACAGCCATTTTGCTTTTTAGCATTTCTTTTTCTTGGGGATGGTCTTTCTCACTGCCTCCTTTACAGTGTCACGAACCTCTGCCCATAGTTCATCAGGCACTCTGTCTATCAGATCTAGTCCTTTAAAGCTATTTCTCACTTCCACTGTATAATTGAAAAGGATTTGATCTAGGTCATACTTGAATGGTCTAGTGGTTTTGCCTACTTTCTTCAATTTAAGTCTGAATTTGCCGTAAGGAGTCCATGATCTGAGCCACAGTCCACTCCTGGTCTTGTTTTTGTTGACTGTATAGAGCTTCTCCATCTTTGGTTGCAAAGAATATAATCAATCTGATTTTGGTACTGACCATCTGGTGATGTCCATGTGTAGAGTCTTCACCTGTGTTGTTGGAAGAGGGTGTTTGCTATGACCAGTGTGTTCTCTTGGCAAAACTCTGTTAGCCTTTGTCCTGGTTCATTTTGTACTCCATGTTGTACTCCAAACTTACCTACTATTCCACGTGTCTCTTGACTTCTTACTTTTGCATTCCAGTCCCCTATAATGAAAAGGACATCTTTTTTTGTTGTTGTTAGTTCTAGAGGGTCTCATAGGTGTTTCATAGATCCTTTTAACTTCAGTTTCTTCAGCTTTACTGGTTGGGGCATCGACTTAGATTACCATGATACTGAATGGTTTGCCTTGGAAACAAACAGAGATCATTCTGTCACTTTTGAGACTGCATCCAAGTACTGCGTTTAGGACACTTTTGTTAACTATGGCTCCTCAGTTTCTTCTAAGGGATTCTTGCCTGCAGTCGTAGATAAAAAGGTCATCTGAATTAAATTCACCCATTCCAGTCCATTTTAGTTCACTGATTCCTAAAATGTCAATGTTCACTCTTGCCATCTCCTGTTTGACCACTTCCAAATTACCTTGATTAATGGACCTAACATTCCATGTTCCTATGCAATATTGCTCTTTACAGCATCAGACTTTACTTCCATCACCAGTCACATCCACTACTGTTTGTTGTTTTTACTTTGGCTCCATCTCTTCATTCTTTCTGGAGTTATTTCTCCACTGATCTCCAGTAGCATATTGGGCACCTACCGACCTGGGGAGTTCACCTTTCAGTGTACTATCTTTTTGGCTTTTCATACTGTTCATGGGACTCTCAAGGCAAGAATACTGAAGTGGTTTGCGATTCCCTTCTCTAGTGAACCACAGTTTGTCAGACCTGACAAACCTCCACCTGTGCACTCCTGAAATTCCCATTTAAAAATTCTTGCCCCTGATCACCAAGGAGGAGCTGGTTCTTTGGTACATTAATCCCTCTGTCTCCCCAGAACTGCTGCTTTCCTCAATAAAGCTGTCTTTAATTTTACCCCACACTTTTCTCTCAGTATTGGATTCTTGAGTAATGAGCAGCTGAAACCTGAGTTCAGTAACAAGAATAAATATTTCACTACAGAATATCTTCCTTTTTAAGCCTGTTTTCCCTTTTTCTCTGCTTTAGGGAGATTTCACTCCAGGAGCATCCTAAGTATAGTAGCCCTTCCCTGTCTTACCTGAGCAGATCACAGAGGCCGTGTTGCCATGGGAACAGTCAGGAACACCCAGGGCAGTCACAGGGCATTGCCACAGGAAGGACTCAGTCCCTGAGCAGTGGAATCGGGCTTTCCAGAGTTGATCACTTCCTTCTGCTCCATTTGGGGTGGAGATGGCGACACCACAGCCAAGCTGACGACAGACAACATTGGCATTGGCCAGGCTCCAGTGGGAGGCACAGAGAGCTCTCCATTGTCCAGAAATATTCATCTCCACCTGCCCCTCACACCTAGAGGTGCCATTTTTCATGAGCCGGATGTCTGTGTACACTGATAGAAAAAGACAGGATTTTAGCAAAGTCTTTTTTTTTTTTTTTTTTAGCTGAAACGACTGTACATGGAGGTTAAGTCCTGCCACGCATCTCACCTGAACAGACAATCTGAGCAGCTCCACTGTGGTGACACCTGCCCCCTGGACAGGGCACTCTGGGGCAGACCCGGAGCTTGGGCTCCTCCCCCTCACACCTGAACTTTTCAGCCCAGACCCGGCCATCAGACTCTCTGAAGGGCATATGTCCCAGGATAGACACAGCCTTGCCACACCCCAGCTCTGCACAAATGACCTGGGCAGTGGGGAGTGTGAAGTTCCCATCAGATACTGGGGTCCAGGCTTTTCCAGAACGCACTTCTACTCGCCCTGAGCAGGGGCCATCCCCTCCAACCAGACGCACAAATCCTAAGAGAAACAAAGGACAAACCCAGTAAGTGTTCATGAAACTGGCTTGACAATTGGAAACAACACCTCACAGGCAATGGTGTGAGAGCTTTTCTTTCCTGCAGTGGAATAAGAGGGGATAAGAAGAGAGAATTTGACTGTCGTTGTCAAAATGCATTTTTCATGAGCAAGTTTCTGAAAAGATATCCAGAAGGATTGCAGGGTCAGTTTGGAATGGCTGAATCTTGAGAATATATATTGGTTAGGAATGTTAATTCCTATCTGGGGGCCTGGAAACTACAGTGCCCAAAGAAACTGCACAGTGCTAGACATTCAAATGGGTCCAGAGCTGGACTAACTGAGAGTGAAAAAAGACCATGGGATTCAAGAGGTGAGAGGCCTAAGAGCCAGAGAAGTTTAGAAGGTCATCCTGAGATTTCTGGGGCTAGAATTTTGGCTAGTTTTCTCTCGGAGCCAATATTCAAGTCACTGAGGAGAGGGAACATCATGCAGTCTGGATCTGAGGGCAGGCACTAGGTCACAGTTAGGTAACCTAATTGTGAAAGAAGTTATTCACAGAAAAGTTTGGAAATGATGAAAGCTCAGAGAGTCATAGGAGAGGGAGTGAATGGTCCCAGCCATCTTTCTTAAAAACCTAGGATTTATGAACACACCTGAAAGTAAAGTCTCAGTGGGATTATGCAAGACAACTGAGTTAGTTGATTATTTCAGACTAGACATGAGATACTTAGCAAATGTGGAGGAGTAATGATAATTTAATGTATTCTAACTCTATCTATATGGCGACTGCATATTCCTTTCCTATTTGGATTTCTGAGATAAGAAGCCGGCAAGCTATAAAAAAGGAGAGTGAGAGGAAGAGAGCAGAGAGCAAGCAAGCCATATATATTTTAGTGATTTCTAAATTGCAAAAGACTCAATAGGAAAAAAAAGACTCAGTAGGGATGAAACATAGATTTGGAAACCAAATACTTTACAAGATGTTAACACCTTTTATCCCCTTGCTTCTCACATTTTCCACCTAACACTGCTACCCTTTCCCATTTCCCCCAATGCAGAAAAGAAGAAACAATCTTAAGAGCTACAAATAGGTGGAAAGGAGACTCCAAAAGCAAAGAACTTCTGTAGCGAGCGAGGTGGGGTGAGTTAAATGGGGAGTGGATGGAGTATGAAAGAGAGACCAAAAAAAAGACTCATGTTCATGATTTCATCCTTCAGGGACCCTATTTGGATAGAGAAAAGGTAATCCAATGAGAAACAATCCCTGCACATCATAAACAACAATTTTTTAAATAATTTGCATGGTTTCTGAGTGTGCTCATGGTTATTTACGTACATGGTGGAATTTCTCCTGGTAAAGGAATCTGGTTGCATAAGTATGTGAACTTTGAAGTCTCAAAAACAATGATGTAACAGAATGAAAATCTACTTTAGAGAGCAGGAGAGAACAGAAAAGACACCACAGAAATTAAAGAATTGAAGGATTAGCTTGACCACTGATATAAGAATGAATGATGAGAGAGAGGATGATCTGCTGGTCTTTTATTATTTATCCATTTCCATCTCACCAGAGAGGCCCAGGTTAGGACCCCTAGTCTCCTCTGGCTGGGAATTTGGTCACAGGCTACACATTCTAATTAAAGCATTTTTATTTAACTGGTTGTTTTTGTTGCTCAGTCACTCAGTTGTGTCCAACTCTTTGTGACCCCATGGACTGCAGCACACCAGGCTTCCCTGTTCTTCACTATCTCCCTGAGTTTACTCAAACTCATGTCCATTGAGTCAGTGATGCCATCCAACCATCTCATCTTTTGTTGTCCCCTTCTCCTCCGATCTTCAACATTTCCTAGCCTCAGGGTCTTTTCCAATGAGTCAGTTCTTCTTATCATGTGGCTAAAGTATCGGAGTTTCAGCTTTAGCATCCGTCCTTCCAATGAGTTATTCAGGGTTGAGATTTCCTTTAGGATTGACTGATTTGATCTCCTTGCTGTCCAAGGGACTTTCCAGAGTCTTCTCCAGCACCACAGTTCAAAAGCATCAATTCTTCAGTGCTCAGCCCTCTTTATGATCCAACTCTCATGTCCATACATAACTACTGGAAAAAAAAACAACTTTGGCTATATGGACCTTTGTCATAAAGGAATGTCTCTGCTTTTCAATAAGCTATCTAGGTTTGTCATAGCTTTTCTTCCAAGGAGCAAGCATCTTTTAATTTCATGACTGCAGTCACTGTCCACAGTGATTTTGGAACCCCAGAAAATAAAGTCTGTCTCTGTTTTCATTTTTTCCTCATCTCTTTGCCATGAAGTGATTGGACTGGATGCCATGATATTAGTTTTTTGAATGTGGAGTTTCAAGCCAGCTTTTCACTCTTCTCTTTCACTTTCATCAAGAGGCTCTCCTCTGTTCCTCTTTACTTTCTGCCATTAGGTGGGTGTCATCTGAATATCTGAGGTTATTGATATTATAAATTAATTCCCTGAGATTAAAAAGTTAGAAAGAACAAGAAAGAAGTATTTCTTGTATTCTGGTTTATATACCCTGATACATGTGAAATATTCAAATATATGCTGAATAATCAATAAAGTCTTATATATATATCAGGATAGAGGCTTCTGAGATATAGTATATCTTTTTTATTTTCTACTTGATTTTAAAATTTACAGGGAAGAATAAGTGTGTGACAATTCCAAGAAAACTAATAAATAGAAGGCTGATGTGAGTAAAGGTATTACATATAATAAAGATATATCCTTGTCTAGTCTCTTGCTGTGTACACACCTGTGTCCTTAGGCACACATAGCAACCTCCATACAACACCCGGCCCCTCAGCGCTGCTCAGAGAACCTCACAGTTGCCTTCATCAGCTCCCATTGCCATTCTCCTTCCTCCCAGCTACTATAAAACCTTTTCCACCTTCTTCAAAAATTATATTTGTCCACTTACTCCAAATAAGCCCCCAAACACAATTCTCTTATATCATTGAAGTCATCAAGTATAAACTATATAATCTTTTATCATAAAATAAAGAAATTCAAATTTTATTACCTCCACCTTTGACTTGTCAGCACATGGCTAACTGTTCCTCCAAAGACTCATTTATACAGATATTTTAAAGGAAAAATTGGAGAGAGAGACTTTTCTAATAACAATGGAAGAATATATGACTCAGAGCATTTCATCAACAGTTCTCTACCATCAAAGAACTATGAACATTTATGTCTAAATTTGCAAGCGAAACTTGAAATCTGGCACAAATCCATAAGAATCTCTGATCAGTTAAATGATATCCTCTGTAGGGATACCCTCTATATAAGTAAATTATATTCTCCTATAGTAGGAGTAGCCTCCACTCATATTAACCTAGTGCAAAATAATGTCTCACACTCTGTATAGAAACAACTCCACCCAGGAAAGTACATCTTCATTTTTGACCCTTCCTCTCATAGCCTTCCTGTGCAAAGGGAGTGTGTATGTGGCGGTTAGCAAATGTTTCACTCTTACAAACATGAATTATGAAATAAGTCATGAGGATTTATTTTAACTGGGAGAATAAATAAAGCTATTTTAGTTTCAGGTAAGACCACTGGAGAAGAAAAGAATAGCAGAGACTTGTAAGAGGAAAGTATATGAAGCTCCTAGCTCACAGCTATAGTGCACTCAGGGAGGATGGGTAGTTGTCTCAGTCCTCTCTAGCCCACGCGTCCCATATTGTCCCTCTGATCAGACACCAGCTTTCTTGGAACTTTCCATTCTCCCAGCTGGTAGGCAATGAACTGATCATACCTGAGCAGATGACTCCTGCATCCTGGCTATGATCACAGTAGTGCTTCCCCCAGCCCCGGGAAGGGCAGTTCCACACGTGGGACTCCTTTCCTCTGCACCTCACGTTATCCAGCCAAATGGGCCCAGATCCTGCCCCAAAGGAGGAAGAGACAGTGGCATCAAGGGCTTCTCCACAGCCCAGCTGCCTGCACACCACGCGGGCATCGTTCAGGTCCCAGCGGTAATCACAGATGGTGCCCCAGGAGCCCTGGTCAAGGATCTCCACTCTCCCGGCGCAGGGACCGCCTCCGTCCACCAGGCGGAGCTGTCTGCTACCTGAGGAGAGAGAAATGGGACAATGGGGCGTTGACCTGGTGAATGAGAAGGGTCTTCTGTCCTGTGGGACCCTCACCCGGGCAGTAAGGGGCGCCCTCCTCTTAGGCTGCAGACCCTGCTGATTCTGAAATGGAGTCATTGCACTGGGGCAGCAGCGGGGTCTGGTTTCTTATAGCAGTGGCAAGAGAATTAATAAGGTTGAAAAATAGAAGGAAAAAAAAAACAGGAAATACTAAGTTGAAAACACTCTAAAGAGTAGCCTGAGACAGAAGGTGTTACAAGGTCATATAAGAGTTAACATTCTGATCTGTAGAGTTCTGCACAGAATCAGAGAAAGATTTACAGGAAATGTTGGTCTCTCTTCCCAGAGTAGTTAAATGAGTTCAGAGTCACAGGAATGAGCTGGCAGCTGGATGGATTCCTTAAAAACCACACACACTTTGATGCCATTTACTTAAGAGTTAAAGGGGTTGACTAAAGGGAGTGGAGTCAGGAACTGGCCTCATCAGATGCCTCAGATAGCAGTCATGAATCATCTACTATTAGAATCCTTCTCCTTGGTACAGTCATTCAGAACTGAAAAACAAATGGATTCTGAGATGTCTTGGTTTACCCCAGAATGTATCACTTTTGGTTCTAAGCTTCAAACTTCAGATCTGGAAACTCAGCTTCAAAAAATGTGATCTTTTTGAGTGGATTAAACAATTTGTATGAGAGATGATGTCAGGTAACAATGATTGACATTGGCCAGATTCCACTGGGAATCAGAGAATGTTCTTCTTCTCCACCAAACATACAATCCCTCCTTGGACTTTCGTTCAAAAATCTCTGTTATTCAAGTTTTGGAGGTATGTGATCTTGAGGAGGAAATAGTGTATATGTGTGCTTAGTCGCTCCAGTCATGTTCAACTCTTTAAGACTCTATGAACTGTACCTCACCAGGCTCCTCTATCCATGGGATTCTCCAGACAAGAATACTGGAGTGGGTTGCCATGCCCTCCTCCAGGGTGTCATCCTGACCGAGTGATTTAACCAGTGTCTCCTGCATTGCAGGTGGATTCTTTACCACTGAGCCACTGGTGAAGCCCTTCTGGTTCTATCACTGAGCAGAAATAAGTTATATTGCTGCTCTGAAAGCCCTTGAACTAATAACATTAACAGAATCACTGTATTCTTCTCTCTTTTTATACATAAAAGTGACATAAAGAAAGGTTAAATCATGTCTATCAGTGCTGCACTTTAAGTAAATAACGAAGTAGAGAATTAAGCCTAAAATTTTCCACTTCCAGGGAGAATGGAGGAGTTCACAGCAGGCCAATTTGTCTTGCTGGGTATTGCTGGATACAACGTTAAAAGCTGAAAATGTTTTTTAAGAAACAGTAAATGTGTTTGACATTTGCTAACACAACATGGACTAAATATGCTAAAATTCTAAAGAGTGGAGATTATTTCAATGTTAGTCCAGGATCTATAGCTTCTTTTTCTCTGTGGGAATTTGCCAATTTGTTGCATAATTTAATGATTCAGAATCTGGGCTTGGGCAAGCAGAGGACTACAGTTGTGACAGGGAACCAGCATAATTTGGGAGTTACCTGGTGCTGGAGTGACAAAATTAGAGTCTTGAGAGCCTCTCTCACACAGCAGGTTTTCTCCTCAAAGATCTGCCCAGTATATAAGCTGTGAAGGGCAGGAAGCTAAAGAACTACATAAAAAGACTTGGAAAGCAGAGTCTTTCTCATTCTCTTGGGTACTGAGCTATCAAAGAATCTAGGCTCTGAACTGAAATCTCTAAAAGTCCATGTCACAGGGATAGAGAAATCAGAAGTGGACTGAGTGTTACCAGAACTGCAACCCACACTTGTTACAGTTCAATTTTAGGTTATATTTAGATGTTTGAATGTCATTTACCCCTTCCCCCTACCTGTCTAGCAAAACAAAGTGTAAATCTTTACAGGCGTTAAAAAACGTATTGGGAATAGCTTACTTCTTCATATATAATTTATAGTACTCAATAAAAAATAACATGACATTTGACAAGCTAAGATAACATGACAAATGATCAAAGTGAAAACAGAAAATAAGAGAATGCAAAGACACACATGATAGAAATGTTGGATTTGGCAGATCAGGATTTTAACTATGATTAATGTATTTAGGGGAAAAGAGAGGCGAGAATAAACAGGTAAAAAGATGAAAAAATACCAAATAATCATTAATAAATAAAAATATCAAAGGAATCATTGCCAACTGTAAAAAGTGAACGAATAAGTTAAAAGAATTTTAGATAGAACTCAGAATATAGTGACTTAGAGGAGTCCTAATGTGTTCCCTGGTGGCTCAGATGGTAAAAGCATCTGCCTACAATGCAAGAGACCCGGGTTTGATCCTTGGATCAGGAAGATCCCCTGGAGAAGGAAATGGCAACCCACTCCAGTACTCTTACCTGGAAAATCCCATGGATGGAGAAGCCTGGTAGGGTACAATACATGGGGTCACAAAGAGTCAGACAAGACTGAATGACTTCACTTTCACCTCTTTCAGAGGAGTCCTAAAGATGAGCAATGAGAAGCAGAAGAAAGAGGAGGAGGAGAGGGAAAAGAGATCTAGAGACAGAGAGACAGAACTACAGAAGTAACATATGAAGGTATAATGATAGATAATTTTTTAAAAAAATAAATGGAAGAGTATGAAAACCTAGTAAAGCTGCTGAAAGCTAAAAGGAAAAAGGGAAATCTGAAATAATAACAGATTTAAATAATACTAAAGGGGAAAAAAAAGGAGTGAAAAGGGAACATAAAGCAGGTGGATCAATTCAGAAAACAGAAAAAGATAAATTAAGGGAGAAATCCATTCACCATTGCAATGAAAAGAATAAAATACTTAGGAATAAATCTACCTAAAGAAACAAAAGACCTATATATAGAAAACTATAAAACACTGATGAAAGAAATCAAAGATGACACAAATAGACAGAGAAATATACCATGTTCATTGATTGGAAGAATCCATATAGTGAAAATGATATACTACCCAAAGCAATCCATACATTCAATGAAATCCCTATCAAGCTACCAATGGTATTGGTAGAACAAATAATTTCACAATGTATAATATGGAAATACAAAAAACCTTGAATAGACAAAGCAATCTTGAGAAAGAAGAATGGAACTGGAGGAATCAACCTGCCTGACTTTACTATACCACAAAGCTATGGACAGAGGTTCATGACACTGTACAGGAGACAGGGATCAAGACGCTCCCCAAGAAAAAGAAATGGAAAAAAGCAAAATGGCTGTCTGAGAAGGCCTTACAAATAGCTGAGAAAAGAAGAGAAGAAAAAAGCAAAGGAGAAAAGGAAAGATATACCCATTTGAATACAGATTTCCAAAGAATAGCAAGGAGAGATAAGAAAGCCTACCTCAGTGATCAATGCAAAGAAATAGAGGAAAACAACAGAATGGGAAAGACTAGAGATCTCTTCAAGAAAATTAGAGATACTAAGGAAAAATTTCATGCAAAGATGGGCTCAATAAAGGACAGAAATTGTATGGACCTAACAGAAGCAGAAGATATTAAGAAGAGGTGGCAAGAATACTCAGAAGAATGGTACAAAAAAGATCTTCATGACCCAGATGACCACAATGTCTGATCACTCACCTAGAGCCAGACATTCTGGAATGTGAAGTCAAGTGGGCCTGAGGAAGCATCACTACGAACAAAGCTAGTGGAGGTGATAGAATTCCAGTTGAGCTATTTCAAATCCTAAATGATGATGCTGTGAAAGTGCTGCACTCAATATGTCCACAAATTTAGAAAACTCAGCAGTGGCCACAGGACTGGAAAAGGTCAGTTTTCATTCCAATCCCAAAGAAAGGCAATGCCAAAGAATGCTCATACTGCTGCACAATTGCACTCATCTCACACACTAGTAAAGTAATGCCCAAAATTCTCCAAGCCAGGTTTCAACAGTACATGGACCATGAAATTTCAGATGTTCAAGTTGCATTTAGAAAAGGCAGAGGAACCAGACATCAAATTGCCAACATCTGCTGGATTATTGAAAAATCAAGAGTTCCAGAAAAACATCTATTTCTGCTTTAATGACTATGCCAAAGCCTTTGAATGTGTGGATCACAATAAACTGTGGAAAATTCTGAAAGAGATAGGAATACCAGACAATCTGACCTGCCTGTTGAGACACCTGTATGCAGGTCAGGAAGCAACAGTTAGAACTGGACATGGTTAGCAAGACTCATTAAGAAACAAAGGGAGAAGAACCAAATTAACAAAATTACAAACGAAAATGGAGAGATCACAACAGACAACACTGAAATACAAAGGATCATAAAAGACTACTACCAGCAGCTCTATGCCAATAAAATGGACAATTTGGAAGAAATGGACAAGTTCTTGGAGAAGTATAACTTTCCAAAACTGAACCAGGAAGAAATAGAAGATCTTAACAAACCCATCACAAGCAAGGAAATCGAAACTGTAATCAGAAATCTTCCAGCAAACAAAAGCACAGGACCAGATGGCTTCACAGCTGAATTCTACCAAAAATTTAGAGAAGAGCTAACACCTATCTTACTCAAACTCTTCCAGAAAATTGCAGAAGAAGGTAAACTTCCAAACTCATTCTATGAGGCCACCATCACCCTAATTCCAAAACCAGACAAAGATGCCACAAAAAAAGAAAACTACAGGCCAATATCACTGATGAACATAGATGCAAAAATCCTTAACAAAATTCTAGACAACAGAATCCAACAACATATTAAAAAAATCATACACCATGACCAAGTGGGCTTTATCCCAGGAATGCAAGGATTCTTTAATATCCGCAAATCAATCAATGTAATACACCACATTAACAAATTGAAAGATAAAAACCATATGATTATCTCAATAGATGCAGAAAAAGCCTTTGACAAAATTCAACATCCATTTATGATTAAAACTCTCCAGAAAGCAGGAATAGAAGGAACATACCTCAACAT